TCCGTCCCTCCTCGCCTCCTCATGTGGGGCTGCCGGCTGCTTGGGGGCAGGTGGTTCGCTTGTCTGCTGCATGATAGGCACCTGCCAGGATTGATCCAACAAAGAAGAAAAGAGATGGTAAAGGAGAATGCAACCCAAAGATGTAGATTCCATCCTCTAAGGGCCTGGAAAGCTATAGAAATCTGGTAGTATATCTGATATCTGGTATAATACGTAGTTGTTTTCTAGTCATTTGTCCCGCATTGTCGATGTCTCCAATGTGATCACGACCATTTAGGATCTACCTGGAGGTGTGGGGGTGAGGCTTGGTCTTGTAGAACAATTCTTGATAGTTTTCTTTTGGTCTCACAACCTTGATTTTAGCCTCACGCTTGACCTCTCCAAATCCCTAGATCACACCGCTCGCGCTCCGCATGACACGCGATCGCGTGTCACATCGCCGACCTTCGGGTCTTGCTGATCTTCCTCGTCGGCTTCCTCGGATTCCTCCATTAGCTCATCCTCTTCTACAGGCTCTTCTTCGCCTGAGGAAAAAACACATGATGTGTTATCTGCGGTCTGAGTCTGCACTGAGATGTTGTCATGAACGTGCGGGATTCCAAGCCTGGAAACCTCCAAGTTGAGGGGTTAAGTAGAGCTACAGGTGATTCGACATCTCCAGTTTGATGACACAAGTTAAGTAGAGTTTGCCAGGACGCTTCAACAGGGAGCTACTTAAGACAATAAAGTAAGTGTTCAACGATTTGATTGTCCAACCTGAAGAACAAAAACAAGAACATGCTGGGGTCTTGACATTGCAACCAAATCACATTCAATATCAAACATCCTGGTTCTTCAAAGTGACCTTCTAATCTCCTGGTTTGAGGTCGCTTAGGCCTTGAAAAGGTCCCTGGATGACACAAAAAACTTCGGTCACGAACTGGAGAAGCTGGAATATGCTGTGTTCATCTTTCCAAGTCTTTTATCTGGCTATGTCTGGCCATCCCTGGCTACCTTCGGGGTGTTGCTTTCTGCTGCCGCATCACCCTCTTCCTGATCCACCTCCTTTTCGCTCTTCGGACCCAGCTGACAGTCGCCCCAGGTCACCTCGTCTCGGTCGTTAGCTGGGCCACCGTGAAAGCCATGTGCTGCGTGGTCTCTGTTTTTTTTGTATACCCGGACCATCCTGTCTGGGTGTCCTGTCTGGAGATCCTGGATGTAGTGTAGGGTAGTCCATGTCGGGCACCCATTGGGTGGCGGTGGTATGTACATAATTAAGTACGCATATACGTTTTGCGTTTTCGATGTTGTATCAACCGGAATCATCATCACTGCGGACTCAAATGACTCCTCCACATGACCACTTCTTACATTCTCCAATGGCAGCAGAGCTACCCGATGACATGATGTGAACATCTCTAGTCGAGCAACAACCAAGAGCTGCACTCTCTGGGAGTAGCATGCAAATCAGTGGGGCCCCGTCAGACGGTTCAAAACACCTCAAAACACTTGGAAACTTGGATCTCCCACCAAGTGCCTGGCATGGCCATGCGCACCCGTCCCCCACGTCCTTTCAAGACCGACAATACCGACAAAACAACGCCCTATCTCCTCTCGGCCACCCCCCCCCTCTCATGACTCTCCGGTCCCGGCCGCAATCTGATCCTCCGCTGCCAGCGCCACGAAGCCACCGTCCACCGCCGCCAGCGCGTGGACGTTCCGCAGCGGCTGCACCGAGCTGGAATCGCCTGGGGAGGCCGCGGGGGAAGCCGTTCGGCGCGCTGAGGATGCTTCACATGAGTCAAATCAAGACTTGAAAGGAGGCCCAGGTGAACAGAACACCTTTCAAATTTTCTACAAACCCTTGGCCTGATCTAACGGATGCATACCGTCCACACCACGCCCAGTCAAGTCCCAAGACCTCGATTGAACTCGAACATGAACAAATACAAACGAGTCATATAAGTATACCATAGTATACCGGGATATCCAGGGATGTGAGCCTCCTACTAGTATGGCGGTGTTGGGGTTTTGATTCTTTCTGACTGCCACATGAATATATAATAGTTGGGTATATTCTGTGGACTTGAACTTGAAATTTGCACAGAACTTGGATGCACTGTATCTGCTGGTGACTGCTGTCGATCGTCTCAAGGCTGCAACATAACAATAAACTAAACATCGGCCGTGATCACATGTTCCATCACGTACCCATCAACAGCCAAGTATATAACTATATAACAGTCATGAATGTAAACTTGATTAATAAGCCCCCCATATGAAGAGGACTTCCAATTCAAATGGGAGGGCTTATTGATCAAGAGTCTACAATAATGCATCACCGCAGTGACTTGAATGAATATATCCGTGAATAGGTGGTATCCATCTGTCTGTCTTCCCTGCCCCATCGTGGCGCCGCCCGGCGCGAGCCGGGACCTCCATACTCCTCATCGCCCCAGGTGATCACTGTTCCATCCCCCAAGAGCGCCGCAAAAGCCTCCAAGTCCAGCAGACGGTGGTGCGTTGCGGTGAGCGGTACCGGGGTGGAGGACATGGACAGAACTGAGAGGAGTGCACCATGATCTCGATGATCTGATCCACTTTCCGAAGATGGAGGGAGGATGAGGGAGGTATGGTAGACAGGCAAATAGAGGGGGGCCTTTGAAGAAGTTCTCTGAGTCGCGACGAATGTCCCACCCTCTGGGGGATTTGAGTCAAAGTTGTGACGGCCGGCGTTCACATGGCAACATGTGTGACATGAACTTACAAGTTTGCAACTTAAAAAATTAAACAATTCCATATCAAATTCAAAAAATATTTAGAAAATACTTTGTAAATCCTGGTGCAAACTAATATTTTTAAAAATAACACATATTTTAAATATATACAAATTAATTATCTAAAAAAAGATAGATTTATCGAACTAATAAGTCTATCAATAATAACAGATCACTGTAAAGACTAAGTCACATAAGTAGATTCAGCAAAAACTTTTATAACACCAAAAATCAATCGCCATAAAAATATATAATTCTGTAATAAATCAACAAGTAATACACCATAAAAAACAATATATATCCCTAGACGTCCATTAGACATAGAAAAAAGTGACACGATTTGGGCCGAGCTCACAATCAACACAACACACACATATCAACAATGTGTATGCATTGCATGCGTGTACCTTCTTCAGTGTCGCGCCTGAGGGCGCCAATGTCACCGCAAGAGGCTTCCCAAAAATTAGTTTCCAATTCCGTCATACACTCAATTATACCTACTTTATTTAAAAAAAAAACATTATACCACTATATAATATACTATAATATTACATATATATATAGTAATTAGTCTATAAATTTATATAATATAAACAGGTCTATTGTTTTTTTACTATATCAAATGACTATATGAAATCCTATTTTTTATATCAAATCACATTTTATTTTGATAGTTTATACATATCGTTGTATAATTGCGGGAACTTTATGCCGGTAGAGTCGATAAATTGTCTAGGGCGGCCAATCTGACCGCCCCATACCACCCCCAGTCATTTCCCTTGCCTGGACTTGTGCCAGGGGATGCTGCAACGCATACTGCCTGGCGCGCCGCCTTGCGACGTCCCGCCTTGGGACGTCCAGCACTTCAAAGCGGTTCGTGCTCAAATTCCAGGGCCGTTCTCTTGAGGGATGTGGGATCTGCATTGGACTTCTTCTGCAGAAGGGCAAGTCCGCCATGCATCCTTGGAGTATCACCAACGAAACACATTACACGGACACATATGGACCTGCAAGGAAGAAGTATAATTATATGAACGAATCAGTATAACAATCCCAAGAAAGGAACAAAATGGAACAAGCAAGTGCAACTATTACCTGAGCTTGCCAAGTATCTCGATGAGGTCAGCAAATTCTTCAATCACATGGTAAGCCTCCCAGCGATAGTTATGGATCAGCATATGTGTCTTGGAAGCCTCTTCTTGGTCCATGGCCAGCAACAGCTTGCAGAAGCAAGCCACTCGAAATCGTCCGTCTAGCAAGACCAAGCGGTGGTTTGCTCGAGCGTGACACTTTGCAAATCCTTCGTTGGAGTACTTCGGCCAGAGTGTGAAGGTCGTGTTGTCGACTGGATAGCCCAAACGGCCCGTCTTCCCGATATCCACGTACTTCAGCTCTGCAATACCTTTTTCAAATAACTTTGCGATAGTGTCCTCCTTAGAGACCTGCTCGATCCAATCCTTTGAGCTGTCAATCCCCTTGTAGCACTGGAGGTTGGGGTAGGTTGACGCCACGGCTGACGAGCCACCAACTCCAAATTCGAGATATGCATCAGCCTTTGAAAGCTCTTGCCGAAAGAACTGAATTTCTTCGCTCGTCATCAACGGAGACATCCTTTCCGCTTCCAAATCAGCCGTGGATGCGGAAGAAAAATGGCCCTGCTCCACCCTAAGGTAGGTTTTGAAGGCAGCTTGATTCTCCTTCATCTCCTTGGTCTTCTTGTTCTCCTCGTGCACGCCCATAGTGAACAATGCGGTATCCATGGAGTGCTGCTTGGTCTCCTTGGTCTCCTTGTTCTTGTGCAATTTGGCACCCATGGGTTGGAGCAACATCAATGCATTCGCCTCCTCTGGGCAGCTTTGCGTGGCACCCAGAAAGAAGAGCGTGGAGATGCGGATCGTGATCCGCATTGCAATAGCAATCGCCATGGTCGGAAAATAATGAACAAAAGTTTGGTAGCTATATTGCTGCATAAGTCATTGACCTGGAACAACCAGGGAGCAACCCTGTGATGGAGGATGTGATATCATCTTATTTCTAGGGTGAAACTTCTCATAGCTTCACCGTCTAGTCACCCTGGTCACCTGGCCCCTGAGACAAGCCATTCAAAGCCACGCCTCGTCATTGGCTTGAATCTCTTTGACATTCTGCAGCTGCTTTCCTAAGGAACCACATCAACGGGGCTCAACCAGTGACCGGTTGAACTTACTTCATCCTACTTCCATGGAAGCAAATCACATCAAATACAAAAATACCTGCACAGTTGTGTACTCTATATGGTGCTCAAAACATGCACAATACAGTTGGTTCTTTGATTCGCACATTCTGTTATGTCAGGGATCATTCATCACTTCACTTGTGACAACACAATGATATGTAAACAGAAGCTAGCTATTGGATCCATGAACAAATAAAACGTTGTAGAGGCTTTTGTGCCTCGCACACACACACCAAATGTTTCTTTTAGATCAGAACCTCTGTTATCAAGTTCCACTAAATTGACTGCATGTCTCCCCCAACAAAAATGTTTGGCTTGTGAGGAACTGGCCAGGCCATGTCCCCAGTCCCCATCCTCCAAACAAACCCGTCACCATTGGGCCCATCGACCCACCAATGGCGATGTCCCAGCAGCTCACGTCTTCGCGGAGCTCTCCGCCGGTGCGTTTGTGGCCCCACACCACCACGGAGCCGTCCTTGCCTTGGAGGCCAAACGATATGAAGCAAAGTTCTCAAATCGAGGTGATTGGACTGGTGAGCACTGGGAGTGGACGAACAACCAGAAAGCCTTGCCAGACTGTCTTCAGCATCAAGGGCGCAAACATGCACAAAAACACACATCAATTGTATACGGTTGTTTAGCTGGATTGCAATCCCTTCAGTTTAAGACTGGTTCTACCACTTCGAGAGCTCCTGGTTCGTCTCCCAATTACCCTCGCCCCTTTTATACGGCCCTTGGGCAACAGGCATCTCATCCACACACAGCCCGGCACAGCTACGCCCAGCTCCATGTCCGCCCAGCTACGCAAGGCCGCAAAGGCCCTGGAGGTGGCCTGGATGGCCTTCACGTCTTTCAACTCCACCTCGCTGCAGTCTCCACCATATGCCTGCGGGTGCCGGTTCATGTCGCGACTCCGACCTCTCCGAGGTGACGGAGGCGCAGCGCCAAGCGCCCTGGTGTCCCATGAGAGGCCGGTTGACTCGATGTCGAACGGTGCAAGTGGGTCAAAGGGATCAGCTCCAATTGTGAAATCGGGCTATCTCTCATTGATCAAAAAGAGCCGCAGCAAATCTGTGATGGTCTTTATTCACTCCACATGTTTTATCACATTGTGCAAATCATCCGTCCAAAGGTGAGGTCGGACCGCCTAGAGAAGAGATGATTAGATGATTCCTCTAGAATCGGCTTTGCTGAGTTGATTGACCAAGCGGGAACAGAAACTGCACTTGAGAAGTGGCCACCAAGCGGGATTGGCTGATTCTTGCTACACCAATCCAGTGAGGCCTGGAAGTCGGGTTAGTTAGTCTCAAATCATTTTATATAAATCATGAAACAAACCTGAGACTTTGTTGCTCTCTGCTTTCAAGCAGCTGTTCTTTTTGCGGACGCAAACCATGCAGCCATGACTTGTTGTTTGAGGTCTGGGATCTTGCAAGCTGGCTACCTTTAAAGAGCCGGAAATGACTAGCTACCCTGCCAGTCCGTGTTTCCGGGTAAGTGGTCTCTTCTATCCACTGATACATTCTTCTATCCACTGATGCATCTGATGCATCTGCGAAACCGCCCAGGCACGAAGGCCAGAACACCACGCCCCGCAAGGTGAACACGGCCTTCAAACCCCAGCAAACCACAGAGCCATCATCACCTCAGAGAGCACATGGAGCATTTGGGTTGCACCACATGCACAAATATGAAGAGCATGAATTCCAAAATGATCCCCGTTTGCAACAAAAAATGCCCTGCCAGGGTATGCTGTTTTTTGAACTGTTTCTTGTACACTGTTCAGGTTTGTTGTCTTTATTATCATATGCAATAAATTGTATTAATATAGGCTTGATGAGACCTTCAATAGACTCTAGCACAACAAATTGACTATATATATATATATTTAACATCGCCGAACCCAGGCTAACTCTGTGAATCTTGAAAATAACAAAAATGCAAAAACAAAGCAAAAAAAGCAACTACAAAAAGCAAAAGGAAAATAAACAACTCCAAAAAGCAAAAACACACAAATGAAAAAGCAAAAGCAAAAAACAAATCCAAAAAGCCATCAAACAAATGAAAACGCAAAAGCAAAAACAGCAAATCCAAAAAGCAAAAAAAACAAATGAACAAGCAAAAACAAAAAACAAAGTAAATCCAAAAAGCACAAACAAACATATGAAAAAGTTGTTACACATGTTGCTGTTTGTTGTTTGTTGTTTGTTGTGTGTTGCTGTTTTAGTGCTTTTGTTACACATGTTTATTTCGCCTGTTTTTTTTGTGTTCCGCTTTCTAAATTGCATTGTTTTTGCTTTGTGGATTCGCTTATTTTATTGCTTTTGCTTTTTGTAGTTGTGTTTTTTTGTGTTTTTATGTGTTTATTTTTTTCGTGTTTTTTTAAATATATATATATATATTAATATATCGACCACACGATCGACCACCAACCCATTGGCCTTGGCCCTGCTTTGACACACAACATACTGAAGACATGTAGAAACACAACCAAACACAATCACGTGATCATCTTCAAGGACCCAAAATAGATCCTAAATCAGCCTGTTTACCACAATCCTCCAACAGCTTCTGATCAAAAACACGTTCTAAAATCCCGCCCACCAATGAGCCTTCACACCTGCAACCACCAAATCAACCAGAAAAGAAACACACATACATACAAACAAACACATACAAAAACCCAAGTACACCTCCACCAAAAACAGGTCAGGCCGTTCCACCGCCGCGGCTCACTGTGGTCACCGTGTGGCGCAAGGCGGCGAAGGCCTCGTGCGTCGCTTGCAGCGCCACGACGGAGCCGGTGACGGAGCAAGCGAGCTCGGCCATGTCCAGCGGCCCGTCTGCACCGTCGGGGACGGCGGGGCGGGGGCATCGGACGAAGGACGTGGTGGGACATAGATGGAGGTGGAAGATGAGAGGGGATGATGAGAAGTGGGGTGCAAAAGGATGCGGTTTTCAGAAATGTCACCCAAAAGGTAAAAACAACTTCAGGTTCAATATGGTTCAAGCAAGTTCTATTGTCTTGTCCAAGTCTTTGGATATATATATATATAAGCAAACACTAGTATCTAACACATTTCAAGGGGTTTGCGTGTTTGTCGATATGTCTGGAACACAAAAAGCCTGAAGTTGCCACCGATTGACCTCTGAAAACGTCCAAAAGCTTCAAGCGCTGTGCCATGATAAACTCCAAATAGCTTGAGAACAATTTCAACTGAACCCATGCCCGGTTCAATGGTGGGATCTCTGTGGGTCGCAAACAGTGAGCAATCCTGTGGGTCGCCGAATCCAACGTCGATACCTTCGTGAGCCACAAATGCTCGTCACATGCCCAGTGAGCCTTCCTCCGCGTCGGAGTCGGAATAGAGTACTGGCGAACCTGGGGACCGAGGCAGATCGATCGCGGGACCTTCCCCCACAGCCACCGTGAGAAACAGTCGCAAGCTGTTGGATCCTAAGTGGGTTGGCATTTGGTGTTGCTGTTTTTTTTCCCCTAGTCCAGTGGATGGGTTGGAAAGTCTAGTTTGTACTTCTGAACTTTAAAAGTTAGTTCATATGCACGAATTGGTGATGATTGTGCAGGGCTGCAGGGCCAGGGAAACACAATTCCATCCCAGTCTATCATATATAACATTGTCTTCACCCACACTACACACACACACACCACACAAATCGAAAACAGAAATCTGTCCAACACGGCCGAGCTTCAAGAACCTTTGCCTTTATCTTTGTCCTTCTTGCAAACCTTCTTCCTCGTCTCTACTTCCGGCTCGCGGTTCCGAGAACCTTGCATCGGAATGGCGCACGGCTTCCCGCCGCACGTCGGCTTCAGACTCCCTATGTGGGGATTTGTGTCGTCCGTGTAGTCTCCATTCTTGTCGACAGCACAATCTTTGGAACCTCCTTTTGAGTCCTTCTGCTTACTGTTGTCGCATTCCGCTGAGTCTTTCGTACCAGTCGTCTTGTGGACGACGCATTCTTTGGAACCTCCTGTCGACGCCTTTTGCTTGCTGTCGCCGCAGTCTGTTGAGTCATTTGTCCCATTCTTGCCGACAGGGCATTCTTTGACATCTCCTTTGCACTCCTTGATCTGACTTTTGTTGCATGCTGTCGAATCATTTCTCTCATTCTTGCCTCCAGCATATGCTTTGGGAACCTTCTTCAACAAATCCGTTTTGTCTCCATATGGGTTGCAATCCTCTATGTCGCTCACTTCGTCGTCAAGGCCTCCACCTGAAGCAGCTGAGCGCGGGCTCCCAGTTCACCCTGAGATGCTTGGCCATGGATACCTTGCCATTGACCTGCACCCGACCATGGGTCAGCAACTTTCACTCTAGTCATATAACATAGTGAGCAAGCGATATTCAACCTGGTATTGGTCCAGTACACCCAGTGTTCTTGCTTTTCTTGGGCATGTGTGACATGATAGCTATGTAGTCAGAGCAGCATTAGCCCAAGTAACACCCCGCATTCAACATCTTTGGAAAAACAAACAAAGGAAACAAGCCCCCAAAAAAAACAAGGTCCTGCAAGCTTCTCACCCCGGAAACACAGACCGCCAGCTTCTGTGTCAACATCGAGTGGTGAATCGGCGAACCGCAATTGAAAGAAACGATTATTGTGACATACATCGGTTGACAACAATAGGATTACAGGACGAGAATAGGTCTACCTTGGCTACAGGAATTCAAGCTCGATGTTTCGTGTCTTATAGGTATAGTTTGTTGGTATTTGAATACAATTCTCTGAACATGGATCTGAAACGCCCAATTGCACCACCTTTGGTGCAAGCTTTCTTGGACTTCGCTCGTCCCTCCTTGCGCATCTCTCTTGACCACTTGTTCTTGCCTGCAGTGTCTGTGAGGCAAACTTCTCTCCAGTTGTGAAAGCCATCTACAAATCTAGGTCTAGTAAGAGATACAGTGCCTGTTGAGGGGAAGAAAGAAAGAAAGTCCTTGGCAAATATGTTTAATCTATGTTTATCTAACATTGCACATTCATGTATAGTTAATTTATGAACATGCAAGGCATACCATGAACATCCATGAACACTAGAACTGCTCAGCAAGTTCATCAACACACATTACAAAACAAAAACACAAAGCGTCCCTTCTCAGGCTCTCTACAAACGAACATGTCAACGTGAGGGATGACAAAACTTATCATAAGAAAAACTTGAAAATGTCAAGGTTCTTATCCGTGAACTTTCCATCTCCCTGAACACTAGAACAACTAACTCCACCCCCACATGAACTCCATGAACCGACCCCTCCACCTCCACCTCCTCCACCTCACGTCGGTCTTACCAGGCGGCGCCAGGTCCGTGCCCGGCCCCGGCACTGCACCCCTCCATCGCTGCGCAGCACGGCGAAGGCGCCGCGCGTGGCGGCCACAGCCACGGCCGCGCCCGGAGGAGGCTCGGCCTCGGGGCCATGGCGCGTGGGGGAACGCCACGAGGGCGTGGACAAGGATACTACGTACATAAGGGGTGAAATGAAAGGACAATATGATGGATTTCTTGCATTTTTACGCCCAAATTGCTCCAGTGTATGCTGAGGTAAGGTACAGTTGGCCAAGTTCCATGTGTATATCTGGTTAGAAACAGTGGGGATTATGTTCCACTTGTAGTGGGATTTTGGAAAGAGTCTTCCAGAATTCCAGGCATGTTTTGTCCCTTATATTCTCATGTTGATGATACCATTGTTGTTCTACATGGGTTCCACTGCATAAATAATAAACTCTCCCGCATCGCTTTGCCTGCCAAGTCACCGCATCTTTAGCCATTTCGTTCAACGTACCTGGGCACACAATGGAAACTCATGGCATGGGAATTGCTGTCAATCTTGCTTGAGCTGTTCGCTTTGGACCTGAGCACCATGAACTCCCGGAACCTCGTTGTACGTTGTTCTGGTCAGCGTAAGCGCTGTTACCCGTGCCCTCAAGCTGAAACAAAGAATCTGCCAGCCGGATCTTGCAGGCATGTTCGCATGCTCAGGAATGCATCTATAATGGCCAACCAATTGAGAGTCGTCCGTCAAGAAGAGGACAATTAGAGTACAGTAGAGTAGCTTGGATGCAAGCCTAAGACTGCCGATGTTGGTCTCTTCATACAGATGCACACAATGAAACGATTTGCTGGCCAAGCACACTTTCAAGCACCCCAAAGACCAGCAGCAACCCGTGCCAAACGAGGGAGTCTCTTGCGGCTCTGATGTGTGCAAGTGTATAACCCACCGTGACAGAACGAACCGGTTGGCCAGTACATCTGAGACCGACAGCCATTGGGTTTCATCCAGGTCTATCAACTAACCGGCAATCTCCTTTGAGTCTGAGATTGATATACTTAGGGCCATGTCGATTGTCTCTGTACTACTCAGCACGGCACGGAAAACACATATCCTACTCCTAGGACCTTAGGAGGTGTCTCAAAATCTTGAACTGAGATCATCAATTCCTAATACAACCAGAAAAGACATCTTATAATATATATTCTTACACACATTGGTCCACCAATCTTGATGCCCTGATCCTGCTACAAGGCCATTCTCAAGCTGAAGTGCAGCCACCGTGGTCAACGTCACCCCAGGTGACAACCTGAATGGGAGCGGACATGAACGTGCCCGAAAGCTCGTGGATGATGTGGTGACCATGGCACAAACAATATCCCCCAAAGGCTGGGAAAGTATGCAAAAGGTGCTGATCTTTGTTTACATATTGTTGCTAAACCCCATTGTTCAGCCACAAGCTGTTGAGGAATCCGTCAGCTGGGTGACTTTGAGACGCCTACTTTTGGGGTATGAGAGACACACATACACACACTCACCTGTAGATAGTGAAACAGTGTCTAAGTGACATGAAAACACCATTTTGTTGTTGACCTTCAAGCAGCCGCCGCTCAGGCCGCTAGTCGTCAGAAAACCCAATATAATATAGAAAACATAGAAAACCAAACAAACAGAAGCAAACCCTAGCAAGTCTCGAGACTAACCTTGATATGACAGTCACGACAGTCAGTCTTAGTTGGTGTCCGGGACTCTCCTCAGGGCTCTGGAACTTCACTCCGTGAAAGGAACCCAATGGTCAACTCCTAGCACTGTTCGTATGAACAGGAGGTTCATCCAGCATCGTCCACCATGTGTTCACCTATATCACGACAAATTGGTTCAACAAAGTGAGAAGAGTAACCACCCGCACGCGCACACACAAATATGCACTTAAGGAGGTCTCTGCCTTGAGTTGGCCGCAAAAATCGCCAACAACACATATCCAAAAAAGAACCATCGTATCGAGTATCGCCATCTTCAGGAAGACTGGAAGACGAGCGAACACTCCGGTGCCTCTCCATTTTTCAAGATGGCCGCAAAGGCCCGGTCATTCGCTTGGATCGCGACCACCGGGGCCTTGGATCGAGACAAGGCGACGTCGGAGACGCCAAGCCGTGGGGGAGACGCCAAGTGTTGGACATGGAGAAACTGAAACCCTGAGAGTCCAGTCATGACTCATGAATGACCCCTATGGTAGAGAGGTTCATTAAGTATGGTCAAGTGAGCTTAAATAGGACCCGTTAGCTGGGGGACCGAACTGGGATAGTCTATAAGGTCCTGACCCACCTCTGTTGGCCTGTATTGACTATATCAGGTGGGGTTGTCCATGAGTCACAACTGAAGTTCTGGGAAACCCATGGACACATTTCTCACGCTATTCCGTTCCCCAATCGGGCCACACTGGTTGTGCTTGGTGTTTCCGCATCTTCCTCCAACTTACACCTCTATACAAGCAGGTAATCTTTCCGTGATTCACTGAAGCGTTAGACATTTCATAGTCATGATAAGTCATGATTACTATTCACAATTATGGTTTGATGACACATTTATGTGTACATCCAACATCACCCCACCTAGTACATCCTTGCGTTCTTTTTTCCAACTCCATGTCTTATCTCCGTCCCAGAACCACATCGAACATCCCACCCATCCACCTGGTCCACCTCTGTTCTCCACTCGTTCCCTGGGTGCTTCGGTCTGCTTCGGTGCTTCGGTTGGTTGGGCCTCCGCCTTCTTCAACTGACGCTCGATGTCGCATGGCAGATGTCCACCGCAGGAGTCTTCGCCCCAGACTTTCACGCTGCCGTCCGACAAAAGGGCAGCAAAGGCCCTCCTGGTGACGGCGAGGCGTTTGGGTTCCGTAGCCCGGGTGACTTTGCGGATTTTTTTTGGGGGGTAGATGATGACTTTATGATATCATGACGTTTGTTGATTTACTATTTGTAGTTTAGTTATAAGCTTATTAATAACCTCAACAAACATGTGGAACATTAAATCATTAATATAAAAAACAAGATGGAACCCACGAACCCGAATGCAAACACGATCGAAAAACTACATATGTCCAAATGACACTCTTGTAGGACACTCTTGTGGGACACTCTTCTGGGACACTCTTGTAGGACACTCTTGTAGGACACTCTTGTGGGTCACTCTTGTAGGAAAATCTTGTGGGACACTCTTGTAGGACACTCTTGTGGGACACTCTTATAGGACACTCTTGTGGGACACTCTTGTGGGACACTCTTGTAGGACACTCTTGTGGGACACTCTTGTAGGAAACTCTTGTGGGACACTCTTGTGAGACACTCTTGTAGAACACTCTTGTGGGTTACTTGCAGGACACTCTTGTGGGACACTCTTACACGACACTCTTGTAGGACACTCTTGTGGGACACTCTTGTAGGACACTCTTGTAGGAAGCTCTTGTGGGACACTCTTGTGGGACACTCTTGACACTCTTGTGGGACACTCTTGTAGGGCACTCTTGTAGGACACTCTTGTGGGTCACTCTTGTAGGAAACTCTTGGGAGACACTCTTGCGGGACACTCTTGTGGGACACTCTTGTAGGACACTCTTGTAGGACACTCTTGTGGGACACTCTTGTGGGACACTCTTGTGGGACACTCTTGTGGGACACTCTTGTAGGACACTCTTGTGGGATACTCCTGTAGGACACTCTTAAGGGACACTCTTGTGAGACACTCTAGTGCGACACTGTTGTAGGACAGTCTTGTAGGACACTCTTATGGGACACTCTTGTGAGACACTCTAGTGGGACACTGTTGTGGGACAGTCTTGTAGGACACTCTTGTGGGTCACTCTTGTAGGAAACTCTTGTGGGACACTCTTGTGGGACACTCTGTGGGACACTCTTGTGGGACACTCTTGTGGGACACTCTTGTAGGACACTCTTGTGGGACACTCTTGTGGGACACTTTTGTGGGACACTCTTGTGGGACACTCTTGTAGGACACTCTTGTGGGATACTCCTGTAGGACACTCTTAAGGGACACTCTTGTGAGACACTCTAGTGCGACACTGTTGTGGGACAGTCCTGTAGGACACTCTTATGGGACACTCTTGTGAGACACTCTAGTGGGACACTGTTGTGGGACAGTCTTGTAGGACACTCTTGTGGGACACTCTTGTAGGACACTCTTGTGGGACACTCTTCTGGGACATTCTTGTAGGACACTTTTGTAGGACACTCTTGTGGGTCACTCTTGTGGGACACTCTTGAAGGACACTCTTGTGGGACACTCTTCTGGGACACTCTTGTAGGACACTCTCGTAGGAAACTCTTGTGGGACACTCTTGTAGGAGACTCTTGTGGGACACTCTTATAGGACACTCTTGTGGAACACTCTTGTGGGACACTCTTGTAGGACACTCTTGTGGGACACTCTTGTAGGACACTCTTGTGGGACACTCTTTTGAGACACTCTTGTAGAACAATCTTGTGGGTCACTTGCAGAAAACTCTTGTGGGACACTCTTACACTACACTCTTGTAGGACACTCTTGTGGGACACTCTTGTAGGACACTCTCGTAGGAAACTCTTGTGGGACACTCTTGTGGGACACTCTTGACACTCTTGTGGGACACTCTTGAGCGACACTGTTGCGGGACACTCTTGGGAGACACTCTTGTGGGACACTCTTGTAGGACACTCTTGTGGGACACTCTTGTTGGAAACTCTTGTGGGACACTCTTGTGGGACACTCTTGTGGGACACTCTTGTGGGACACTCTTGCCGGACACTCTTGTGGGACACTCTTGTAGGACACTCTTGTAGGACACTCTTGCGGGTCACTCTTGTAGGAAACTCTTGTGGGACACTCTTGTGGGACACTCTTGTGGGACACTCTGTGGGACACTCTTGTGGGACACTCTTGTGGGACACTCTTGTAGGACACTCTTGTGGACAGTCTTGTAGGACACTCTTGTGGCACACTCTTGTGGGACACTCTTGTGGGACAGTCTTGTAGGACACTCTTGTGGGATACTCCTGTAGGACACTCTTAAGGGACACTCTTGTGAGACACACTAGTCGGACACTGTTGCGGGACACTCTTGTGGGACACTCTTCCAGCTCGCCAGATACTCCGCGTACTAAAGTTGTACTACAAGGTCGCCAGTTCTCAGCTTCCAGCTCCCAGACACTCCGCGCACTAAAGTTGTACTACAAGGTCGCCAGTTTTCAGCTTCCAGCTCCACAGATTGCTCCGCGTACTAAAGTTGTACTACAAAGTCGCCAGTTCTCAGCTTCCAGCTCCACAGATTGCTCCGCGTACTAGAGTTGTACTACAAAGTCGCCAGTTCTCAGCTTCCAGCTCCACAGATTGCTCCGCGTACTAAAGTTGTACTACCAAGTCACCAGTTCTCATCTTCCAGCTCCCCAGATACTTCGCGTACTAAAGTTGTACATAGGGGTTGGTATTAAGTGGGTACCTTGGGGGGTGCGATTTTATAGTGCTAAAATGCTGGGACCAACCCCCTCCAATGAGGGTAACTTTTTGGCCCTATAAAATTGAGGAGAACATAGGAAAAGAACCCAAGTACAAAGATTTAGCTCTATAGAATTGAGGGCCATTAGTCTGTCAAAAGCTGTTGAAAGTTGTGAATATTAAGGGTTTTTGTCTATAGAATTGCGGGCCCCAAGGTACTCCCGAACAGGTGTTGTCGAGTTGTAATCTGAACCTGGTTCTCTGTAGAGTCAAGGGCCATGGGTCTCAAAAAACCTGTTTCTGTATAGAATCAAGGGCCATGGGTCTCAACAAAACATAAAATTCCAATTTCAATGGAAGGTATTGATTTGCCAGTTGGTAGGACCACAATTCTATAGAGGAGACAGCAGGTGTTATGGAGAGGATTGGAGAGGTAAGGATCTGTGATGATCTCTGATTTTATAGTGTCCAGATGTGTCCAAATGCTGTCCCCAAATCATCCACTTCTCCCCTTTCCCAAGTCATCCCAAGCCGTCCAGAGGCTGCAAATGCCTGCAAATTGTTTTCCTTGGCTGGTTTCACGGTAGATGGTAAATTGTATTTCATATAAGGCGTTCCCTTGCTAGGATGCTCCTGATTTGTTAGCGTCATCATGTGTCATCCTGATTCATTCAAGAACCCATTCCCCAGGGTTCTTTTGAGCAATCCCAATTGGAATCAAGCCAAGAAAAAGCAATCTCTATAGAATTGCGGGTCATGACATCCAAAATCATAGAAATCATTCTCTATAGAATCGGTATGCCCCAGTCATCCAAAATCCCTTCACTATACTTACAAGCCTCTATAGAATCAAGCTTGCAATTCTCTATAAAATCGAGGCTCTTGAAGGACAGGACTTTACAAGCTCCATATGAGCCAAGGAAACCTGGCTTAAAAAATAGTCTTTTCGGGGACCCAACCCCCGCGATTCTATAGAGGAAATTCCATCCCCTATAGTTGTACTACAAAGTCGCCAGTGCTCGCCTGCATTTCGCACGCTCGACACGCACGATCTCCACAGAGGGTTGCGCGGGCACCGGACAAATCGCACTCTCGCCTGCATTTCGCGCACTCGACACGCACGATCTCGGCAGAGGGTTGCGCGCGCATGGGACAAATCACACTCTCGCCTGCATTTCGCGCACTCGACACGCACGATCTCCGCAGAGGGTTGCGCGCGCATGGGACAAATCGCGCTCTCGCCTGCATTTCGCACACTCGACACGCACGATCTCCGCGGAGGGTTGCGCGTCAAGTCTCCAAAACGAGCGTTTTGTACGAGACTTCCTCAAAAACTCACACGTCAAAGTCTGCAAAACGAGCGTTGCGTACGAGACTTCCTCCAAAAGTCAAGCGGAAACACCCATCGGAGCACACACATCACGCAGCCCTGCCAAGCAGTTTCGCGATTCCAGCCCCTCCAAACAACATCCGCTCACACGCCAATCCCAATGTGACAGCGACATTCACCTCTACCACAACTCACAACCTCACGATTCCCTGCGCCTGCCACGAATCTTTCCGCGTCCACACGTCTAGCGCGCACAAAGTACTGCGCCTGCCACGAAGTGTCACCTCCGTCACACCTCGCAACCTCACGATTCCCTGCGCCTGCCATGAGAATCGCACTTCCACGCCTCAAAGCCCGCACGAAGTCCTGCGCCTGCCACGAAAAGTGACAATATCATCGCATGTGAGCTTCAACAAAATTTGCACCACACCACACGTTTGGAATGATTTCGACCCGTTCTGAGCACACTCCCATCCACCAAAGTCGCCATTTCAGCTGAGACTTGTCACGAAAGCCGAGCTTCGATGCCACACCCTGAAATGCAAATCCCAATGGCACGGCCACATCCAACACCCCAAAAACACGACTCTCCAAACGCTAATCCCAATGGAACTGCGCAGCAATCTGCGGATCTCACAAAACGCTGCGCCTGTGCAGCGAAATGTATCACGTTTCTTGCGCGACATGTCCTGGTCATGCAAATCACAATGGAATAGCGGCGCAAACTGACACGTGACACGTCCATGCAAAGTCACTTGCAAAAGCTTCCCCCAATGGCAGCAAATTTGAGACGCGACGACGACGACAAGCGACGACAAACGACGACAAACGACGAGACGACGCAAGCCATGCAAACACAGGTCCAACCCCCACACCCCCAACTATAAACGGGAACCCTTCGCTACGCATTCGGGAATAAGTGGTGAACTAAGTGATGATTCTCAGAAAATCCCCTCCAAGACCAACGCCAAACTTCAGGTCAACTCATGTCAGCTCTTCATCCAAAGGGTGAGTCTCATCCAAACGGCACACAGGGACCAAAAATTTCATGACCAGTCAATCGACCCAGGCTGTGCACCACTTCTTCAAAGATCTTCAACTTCCCAAAACCCTCAGTGAGACTCTCTCCCATTCGCTCCCGTTGGCTTGGATCTCTTTGATGCTCCGATCTCCCAAATCCATGGGCTCGTTCTCCGGTGCGTGGTGGCCCCAGAAGAACACGCCGCGCCCGTCCGCGCGCAGGGCGCAGAAGTGGCGGTCGGTGGATTGGATGCAACGGAAGGCACCTGGAACTGCCAGCTGTGCCTGCTCCTGTGAGATGCGAGATGACACCCTTCATCAGGCCCCTGAGGTTGGGACAGAAGGCTTTTCCGACCTCCTTTTGGTGGGGTCGCTCTTGGGGGGTCGGTCTTGGCCTCGAAGATACATCTCCAATCAATCCATCCGCCAGCTGAACGCCACACCCGCCGGTGGTGACATGAGACCCTTCATCCGTCTGAAAAAGGCGGGTTGCGTTGAAAGAATGTAAACAAACTGGTTAGACGAAAACAAAAGACCAATGCATCTTTCCCGGCTGATAGTCAGAGCTACCAGCCCTTTCGTTCAATCGTAATACTTATCAATCTTACCAAACCTGGAATCTGCGACAACTGTTTAAAATATGTTAAAATAATCACCTTTGAGCAGGATCCCAGGATTGATGCTCAGAATTTACCATTGACCAACCTTGAGTCACAGTGCTCCTCGGGGCTTGGAACGCAGTCTTCATGACCCCAGGAGACGATGCTCCTTGGGTGTCCGGCTCCGTGCCAGAGGAAGCTCCAACCAAACGCCAGCGGACGAGGCGCATTGGGACGGGGGTCAGGGTGCCAATGTGTGTGTGTTTTTTACAGGAGGGTCCAGGGGATACTGCAGGTATATAATCAGGGTTTCTGGCAGGAATCCTCCACTCACGGATCCGGCACAGCACCATTTGGCAAGAAAGCTGCTCGGTTTCTTCTTTCAAGTGCACAGTGCAAGAAGCTGCAAATCCAAAAAACAGTTAACGTAGAAGTCAGCCCACTCCCTTGGTTGAAGCCATAGAATTTCAAAAGCACCCCACCTCCCATACGTCTATCAAGAGTCCCATCCCTCTTGAGCCCTGCGAAGGCTAAGAGTGGCGACGCGGTCTGCTGGACCGCCACGAGGTCCTCGGACGCGCAGGACACGGATCGCTCGCGCGGACACCGAGCGGATATGGTTTCAACACCATACTATCGGGGATGAACACTATATATTTACTATATACCATCTATAGATCTATTTTGGGGTCACCACACATACAAGAATAGTATGGGAAACCAATGCTGCCTCTTAGCTGGAGCTCCATGATTCCTCTAAGTATATAACTTTGTTCATTCGGAGCCTCACTAAACGGGGCACCTGGCAAACTCGAATTCGGAGCAAAACAACAACACCTACCACAAGCATCCTGTCTGGGTGTCCTGGCAGGTCTCCATGAAACACGTGTTTTTCATGGTCCATGATATACGTATATATATATAGTCGTAGCATGTAAACTTTGGCCTCTTCAGCCACCAAAAACATAACCTATGACTGCACAACAATGTCAGGCCTCTTTTCCTCCATCAGCATTTCTTAGAAACAAGAAACTACTAGGAACAAGTGCATCGCTACTAGTAACAAGTGCCTTACTAGTAGTAGCAAGAAGCTACTAGGAACAAGTGCATCGCTACTAGTAACAAGTGCCTTACTAGTAGTAGCAAGAAGCTACTAGGAACAAGTGCATCGCTACTAGTAACAAGTGCCTTACTAGTAGTAACAAGAAGCTATTAGCTTATTGTTTCTAATAGCTTCTTGTTACTACTAGTAAGGCACCTGTTACTACTAGCGTGGCACCTGTTACTACTAGTAAGGCACTTGTTACTACTAGCGTGGCACTTGTTACTACTAGTAAGGCACTTGTTACTACTAGCGTGGCACTTGTTACTACTAGTAAGGCACTTGTTACTACTAGCGTGGCACTTGTTACTACTAGAAAGGCACTTGTTACTAGGAACAGGTCCCCCCCCTCTTTTACTCTACACGCCCGTCCGATCGCTCGCCGCCTGGAGGACCTCATCGGTACCTGCCGTCGCCTGGTCCCAGAAGACGTGCGACCTGAGCGACCGCCACGGTGGCACAGCCGCAAAGGACCGCAGAAAATGAAGTGAGCGATGTCGTGATGTCGATGTCCTTCTTGGATTCATAAAAAGAAAGGAATGCCTAAATGACCATGACTCAAAGACACCAAATTGTTCAAAGTCGGGTTGAGATTTGGACCAATAATTCATAAAGAACAAAAAGCGGAATGGAACCATATGGAACCGCCGGAACCGCCAAGTCTATTGAACCATAATACCTTCCATCATCTCTTCCGGATAAAACTCGGCTATGTCCGTGCTGGGCACCCCCAGGTGACCACCGTGCCATCGCTCCTCCGCCAGGCGCAGCCCTCGCCGTGGCGGCTCGAGGCCACGAAGGGGACACTCCCAGCCGCCGTGGTGGCGGACTCGGGGACGGCGGTGACGGTGTCCTCGTTTTGGAGGCCTGGCCAGAGAATGCCCGGGAGACATGGCTCATTCAGAGGCAAAAGCTAACATATGTTTTGTGTTGTTTGTTTCCGTTTTGGCTTTGGAATTCGATTTTGAAGGGGTGTCGTGATGTGTTACTGAGAGATTGTACATGTAAGTACTACTGTCCTACTGTGCATGGATTCTCTGAATATGAACATATGGGAAGTATCACTTTCTATAGAATTACTTAAATATAGCAAGACAAGTATTGCTATTAAATTGGAGACTAAACTTTCACGGTATGTAACATGAAGAGAACCCTCTTCTGAACTGTGGAACAGGTCAAGCAACGAGTGTTCAGCCAAACACATGGCCAAGTGTCTCAGGTGACCACTGTTGGAACCAGAGATTGCTGTTTTCCGCCCACCATCCAGCACCAGTAGTGGCCTTCCTCCTTCAAGGACTTGTTCGTGTCCGTCAATAGCCTAGTCAGCTAGGCAGGAGGACGAGACAATAGCGTCGCTCGATTCATCTGACCCGATGATGTGGTGCCCTGTGCCCATTCATGCCACCACTACAGGCTACAAAATTGATCAACATTGTAGGCTCCAACAATGGCACTGAATCTCCAAGCCCTTTCGAGTGGTCACGCTTGTTGCTGTTGCTCTCATCTACGCACATCGTGGGTTCCCAAAACTCTCCGTGAACCCGAAAGAATGCGTGGGGGAGTCTTCCAATTTCCAGAGTCTTTCCGATTGGCACATTGCCAGTCAGCTCCAAGTGATCATCTGCCCAACCCCTTATCAGCGGTTCAGGCGCGATCGTCAGGTTGTTTCACCTAGCATTTAGGTCTACCTTGTGGAAGGCTCATACAGTATTGGTCGTGTCAAATTTGCCATGGGCCCCCTAAACTCCTTCAAAAGAATGGTGCATCACTCCATCACCAAGAAACTGAAACTGTCCAACGGGACCTGGGATGGCCACGCATGGCGGAGGGCATAGCCACGCATGGACACAAACTTTTGTTTAAGCTAAGCAGCATGTTAGCCTCCAAGAAGCTAGGCATCTGGAAGGCCAGGTCAAAATGCATCTTCCTAAGAAAAGTTATATGCTTTTAATTCCAAGCCAGCCCAGTCAAATCATACACACCCAGCCCAGGAGCTTGCCGGCCGCCGAGAGCAAGCTTCGTAGTCGGACGCCCAAGCCTAAGATTGGGGACTCGATGATTTAGTCAACATATCCAGAAATCAAAGGACACCAGCTTTTGGATGTGTGGGCATTTCCTGGCAGCTAGGGATGGGCAAACAGCTGTTGTTACTCCACTGGATCTTCCTCCCCCAAACAGCCGTGGGCCGCAGCGATCGATTGGCGATCGATGCTGTGCCACGCCACTTTGCTGCGCCATCCTCTTCAGCTCTCCGACCGTCGAGTCGGAACTCAAGGACGCGCTCCCGCTGCGCGTTCCGGCGAGCTGCACGTGGATGCGCAGTTCACCCATGGGCACGGGCGGGGAGGATGGCGAGAGCGTGGGAAAGATTGCTTGCGTTGTGTGGGGGGGGATGTTCGGATGACTTGCAGAGTTTGAACGTTGTTGAATGTTTTCTGTTCAACGGCTTGAAGATCAAGAAATGCATTGCTAAAATGCATCCAAAAACGGCGTTTCAAAACAACCTTTTGATTCGGAATTCTTACTATTGTACAGTAATTCTACAACTTAAATGTCATCCGTTAGGTGCATCGCTGATTCGGATATCCTTCATGTACCCGAAGCCCTGCTAATGTATATATATATATATATTATATATGGTATACCGTTATACCGTATACCTACGAGTACTTATTATATATAATACATAACAACCTGCCAGGTCTGCCCCTGGTCCGCCAGGGCTAAGAGATTGACAATGCGCCTGAATCCAGCCTACTCCACTTCATGTCCACTGGCTTGTCATTGCCTTGAGCCATGGATCTCCAAGAGTTCAGAGCACCACGCGTCATGGGCAAACCGTTGGGATAGTGAAAGCTGTCTGATAACCAAGTCAGTGGTCTAGGAAGCCACGGGAAGCGATTCATGTGCAAATGGAGGCTTCGATATGGACATGGACGATACGTCATAGAATAGAACAACTTGAATATCAGGCAGCATATTTATGCCTTCAACCAGTGGATTTTCTAATTGCTATGGCCCATGGCTATATTATAGGCCTGGACAATTTCCAGCCAGTCTATTGGTTTCCTAACCCCTGTCCATTTCTCTTCATCCCCATGCCCCCCCCACTACAGCAGAGACCTGACCCAAACCGAAAAGCGAATCCCTCCACACTCTATTGAGGCACCTCTACTGACGCACAGAGGCGCGTTTGTCCTTCGCGGGACTTTCTGCCTTGGTCCCCCCCCGTGCTGCCTGTGTTGCTGCTCCGGCGCACCAGTCGCATGGTGCGTGCCATGGCCCGCTGTTCCAACCTCCCGACCACACCTTGGCGCAATGGACCGTGACCGTCAGAAAGATCCCAATCGTCCGACCGAACCCCCTGAAGATCGCTCAGGCCGCTCTCGTGCCTCTCTGGAGGATCGGGAGGAGCGTCGGCAACGATCAAACAATCAAGATCAACTGCGAAGACGAAGCCGGCATACCAAAATCTCTTAACCATGTTTGAAGAGGTGGTTGGAGGGTGCTGATCCATGCTGATCCCCTTACCTTTGAGGCCTTTGGAGGTTTAAACAAAAAAACACCTTTGGGAACTGCTTCACCCCAGGCGCATCGGTCACAAATGGTCGAACAACTGTGCTTCCCGACTTCGAAAGGTCTCGGCCGCCAGTGAGAGTGCCTTGGAAAAGCACCGCAGGTCCGGCTCTGTGCTCGCGTGGTCCCATATGTCTGGTGGTTGTTTGTGAGGCTTTTGTTGAATACTTCAGTTTGTCAGCCTAATTGTGTTTTTTCTTGCGTCAGGATTGAGTGAGTCATCCGAAACTTGGGTGAGGTTCACATTGAACACTTATGCCCAACTGGCCGGTAAAGACACAGAACTGCCACTCTGCTGCCACATCTGCTGCCACTCTGAATCCACCCTCTCCTTCTGCCACAAGCCAAGCACAACCTCACATAATGTGGGATGTAACCCCCCCCCACACACAGGAGTCAATGACACCATGTTACACATGCTAAATGGCACGCATCTTCCTCATGCTGCGGAAGATGCGGACCTCCCCATCGAAAACACCGCTGCACCGCACGCCACGCAGGCCACGCAGCGGTACCTTCTCGTTGGGGCTCGTGAGGACCTGCGTCAAGGCGTCGATGGCACAGCGCCTGCGGCGGTCGGGGTCAGAGCTTCTTCTGTGCCTTCGGTGCCTTCTGTGTCATTCTGTTTCTGTATATGATGTCAACTCTGGGGAGTGGTCCACCCTACAAAGGAACATGGGATTGGAGTGGTTGGCAAGTTGGGATGTTGCTGTTTCTTTCCAATTCTCATCTGTCTCCTGTCTCCCCCTGAAAAATGCCACGCCCTATAGCTGTGCATCATCACACATGGCGCCCTCCATGACGGGCGCCCTCAATGGGTCCGACCTCCACCCAGTCCCCCGATGAGTCGACCGCGCCTCTCACGACCGATACTGCACATGACACGTTGGGCGGTCCGGCGCACCTCGAGAAGCGACACGCGAGAAGCGACGCGCGTTCCACCACAAGCCTCCAAGCGTACGGGCGAAGTGAAACATGGTCTATAGTATCCTGTCCCTAGGGGGTTCCTGGCCTACCTCCTGAGATTCGGTGGTTGGGGTGGGTCTTGAGGGTCTAACCAGAGCCCTATGGGGATACTTCAAACATGGAGCAAGTGGTGTAGGAACCGTCTTAAGCAAACAACTGGTTGTCATGGTGGTTTCAAACATGAGGAAGAAGTGTGTCACTTCCAAAAGACTATTTATGACTGTGACTATTTAACAAAGGAACTGTCTGTTGGCGATTTCTTTTGTGTCAGTAACTGTCTGAGACGACCTGTTTGTTGGGGGGTTCTGTTTGGCTTCTACGCTGATACTCACCACAGGAACCATTGACATGTTCAAGAAAAAAAAAAACTAAAAACTGAGCTGGTTTCCAAACTTCTGCTCGTTTGGTTAGCAAAGCCGCGTCAAACAATAACATGTCAGTATCCACTTACAGTAGAGTATATAATATATAGATTGAACAGGGTTAATATTTATCGTAGAAACAAAACTTGAATCGGTGGACTAAATCAGCCGTATCTTTCTTTAGTTAGTCTGTTGTTGATACTGTCTGTCTACCCAGATACCTCGACGGCATGGAAAAGCGTTGACATATGAACCAATCAAGACATCTTTACACAGACAACCTTTTCAGACTTTGTGGCACTACTTCCTCATTCAGGATTTGTTGCGCAAGGGACAGGACACCAGCACCCACAGTCTTGACGAAATCAGTACTGTGGACACCACCTCACAAAACGGGGTTCATAGTTCATAGAGGGAGTGTGTGTTAATCTTCTATATATGTCTATGTCTCTGTTGGACTTCAGGGCTGTTGGAACTCGCCACTAGGACCACTTTCGCACGCCAAAAACAGAGGTGAATTCATATGTACCATGGTACCATGGTCGTTGATCGAGTCCGACCGAATATATCACCCCAAATCGGGAAAATCCATGTGGTGGGCGACATGATCCGCAATATGGCACCGCCTCGGTGCCTATCACATCGCTGACGGCGAGTCGATAGTTTGTGAGTGTCAACCCAAGGACTTCAAGCATCAGTTATAGTGTTGTTAACGTGCACAGTTATCATGAAAACTGTTTCAAATGCTGCAACATGATGGTTGATGGTGATACTGGGTCCAAGCGCTACTGGTGTCCTGGGCGCCAGCCGCCTTAAGAATTTCCACCGTCGGAAGAATGTCTGGGTCTTGGTCGATCGAAAGGGAGAGTTCCGTTCCCTCCACACTTCCAAACCCTTCCTGTGGTGCTGACACTGGAATATGACTTGAGGCCAGAGGGGGTGAACGAAAGCTAGCCGGGCTTCCGGTGGTCTGCTGCTGGTGCTGCTGCTGCTCTGCAGGCGCCGGGTCGTCTGCTGCTGCTGCTGCTGGCGCTGGGTGGTCTGCTGCGGCTGCTGCTGCCGCGGCGTTGGGTATGCTGCTGCCGCTGCTGCTGCTGCTGCCGCTGCTGCCGCTGCTGCGCTGGGCGCTGCAGATGCTTGGTGTGCTGCAGCTGCTTGGTGGTCCCGCTCACCGCGCGCAGG